CCAATTTCGGAAGGATATAATGCTCTAATCTATAAATATTAGCATTTAAATGTGATGTAAAAAAGAAGACACTAAAGATCATATAAACGACCGCAGTCGTTGGTTCATTTACTCGTTTATTTCTTTCTTCAAGTTAAAATTTAATAAATAATGGTCGGTTATAGAGAATCCGCAATTGTATTACTGTTTTTATTGACTTCATTTCTTATGTTCCTCGAAACAAATGCGGAAGTTCATGATGTAACTGTCGGTGGAGGTAGAGCGATATTGGCATTTAATCCTCAGAACATTACCATAAAACCAAATGACACGGTAGTAGCATCTTCGCAATTATTAATTATTCTATTTGCTTTAGGGTCTAACATAAAAAATTTCCCGTTCTGCAGGTCGTGTGGCATTTTGCGGGCGGGAATCATAATGTCGTTCAATCAGATGGTCCCGCGGGTTCTTGTTCGCCATCCATAGGCGGATGTAAGTATAGTTCCTTTGACGCCTCTTTTCAAAGAACAAGCATAACTCGAGTATTTTTTCAAAATAGTTCAATCATACACAAATCCACCAAGCGGTGAATTTGAACAAACATTTAATCAAACCAAAGGATTCATCTTCTACTTTTGCTCTGTACAATCCCACTGCGCGTCCGGAATGTGGGGAATCATAAAGATCGATGGTACTGACAACTCCTCCACTTCAACCACTTCGACTTCCTCCGCCACTTCCAGTGTCTCACCCTCTACTAAATCTTTTGCTGTCGGTAAATCCGGATTCGTTAATTTTAAAATGATTATCATCGGTATTTTAGCATCAATGATTTCTACCGGAAATTTTGATGTATTATTGGTCTATTCAGCACAGAAATCAAGTTGCATGAATAGTTTTTAGAGCGACAATAATTAATTTAAATTAATGCCAATGAAAAAGAGTATTGTATAAGAAGTTTCTTAAATAGAACAAGGGGTTTTAATGGTTTCTTTCGTTTTTATCATACGTTTCTTTCTTTTCTTTTTTTCCTGAGACTACATTTTTTCCAGAAAGAATAAAGTTAAATTTCCACTGGAAGTCATTTATGCACAAAATTTAAAATGGTAAAATAAATGTCTTGATGATGTATTATGACAAATTTACAGCAAATCCTGCATTTCAGCCATAAATTTATCATACTCATCAACTTTCTTTTTCGTTCTAGATTTCTTTTGAGGAGGGCCTGTAGAAGTCGGTTGCTGCTCTGATGTCTGGGTATCATACTCTGACTGTTGTAATAAAGATATTGCCGTTGAAGCACTTCTCTTGACGGCTGTTGGTGTAGAGGCGCCCACGCCATCATCAATATTAGGTGCCGCGTTTACAACTGGTCTAGCAACTTTTGGTTTGCTTGCCGACGCTTTCTTTCGCAACAGCGACGAAGGAACAAGGGTGGTAAGCTCCTTTTGAAGATTGCGAACTTGCGGCTCTGCCTGAATAACCGGAGTAGCAGCTGCAACCGATCTCATTGGCAGCTGTTCGATTTTGGGCTGTGAAAAGTCCCGCAGTGAAGACCCATAGAATTGATCCAATGGGTCAATTGCGTATTTACTTTTCACAAGTTCTCTTGGTGCCTTATTAACGCTCTGTATTTGAGGCGTACCATAATGTGAAAATTGCGGTCCGAATGGTGGTGGTCGAGGCGGAGAATCCATCGGTCGCAGCGGGTATCCTTGCGGTTGAACTTGGCGTATTGGTGGAGGTGGCGGTAAAAATTGT